TTTTTTTCCCCTGCTTATGTGGTGCTGAGGAATCCAACCCAGGGCCTCAAGCATGCAAGGCAAGTGCTCTACCACTGAGCCATCTTCCCAGCCCAAGTTAACTTTTTTTTTATTGTGAAAATACCATACAGAGGGGTTACAATTACATGGGCAAGGTAATGAGTACATTTCTTATCAAGCATTGTTGCTTCCTCCTTTGTTTCTCCTTCCCATCCCTTCCTATCTCCCCCGCCCCCCCAAAGTTGTAAAGTTCATTTTCGACATAACGTCTTATACATCTCATTGTTGTAATGAGTCCACCTGTATCCCTATTTTAAATGATTTGTTTATTCCCTTCATATAAGTTGGCTTCTAAATCACTGTTCTGAGGAAATTGATATATGTTTTTGTCATTTCGGAGGGGCATTGCTCATCTCAGGAAAGTAGGAGGTTCTCAAGATATTAAAAATGCCATTCAGAAATTGGGCATAGTGGTACACACCTATAGCCCCAGCTACTCAGGAGACTGAGACGAGAGACTCAGTTGAGCCCAGGAGTTCAAGGACAGGCTGGGCAACATATGAGGCCTCATTTTATTTTTATTATTATTATTATTATTTTGGGGGGTCCAGTCTGGGGCCTGAACTCTGGGCCTGGGCGCTGTCCCTCAGCTCTTCAGCTCAAGGCTAGCGCTCTACCACTTGAGCCATAGCACCACTTCCTGCTTTTTTCTTTTTTCTTATGTGGTGCTAAGGAATCGAACCCAGGGCCTCATGCATGCAAGGCACGCGCTCTACCACTGAGCCACCTTCCCAGCCCCAAGGCCTCATTTTAAAAACAAATGTCATTTAGTTCATCCACTTTGATTCATATAAACCTATATGGAAATATGTCTCTCGAATGATAAGCTGAGTTCCCTGGAAATTTTAAAGTTTGCCTTTTATTTACCATGTTACAAATGCCTCTGGGACTCTAGCTACTGGCAAACACTTTCAGACTGTGACTGTCTCCTTGCATATCTCTGATTAACTCATTCCCAAGGTTATACCTTTGAGACCTAAGGTTTGGCTCAGCCCAGAATGAGCACTGGGGACTATACAGAGCCTAGACTAGGAGAGATAGAGCTGTTCTAAATAGGTTATATCATTGCAAGGTGCTATGGAACAACTTAACACTTTGTGGGAATGGAGGACAGAACACAGAGTGAAAAAAAATCTTGCTTCAAAGCTCTCACTAGTGCCTGACCTCAAGGTATTCCCTCTACAGGCAGAATACAACTGCTGCCACTATTGCCATCACTGTCTGCTACCTCATCACCAGCCCACACTACTATCATTGCTGCTACTATCATCACTGCTAAGGCCACAACTACCACCGATACCATAATGACTGCCAACCACCACTGATACCATAATGACTGCCAACCACCTCACTCCCCCACTATGGCCATTATACCACCTCTACCTCTATCACTACCATCTCCACTACTACTACCACAACCACCTCTACTTCTACATCTACCACCACCATCACCATAATTTTCATTGATAAAGCCCTTCCTATAAGCCACCCCTCTTGTTCTATCTATAGGTGCATGACCTCAGCTAATTCCCATAACACACTATCTCAGCTATCTCAGTCAGCCTCATCTTATACATAAGAAAACAGTAACTGGAGATGTTTAGTTTCTCCAAAGAAGTTAAATTCTTCCTCTGTCTACCTCTCTTTCCTTCCCCAGATGAAACACTGCTCTAATCTTCTGACATCTATATGATAAAGTTTTTTGGAGATGTAAAAAATAAAACCAGTAATTAAGAAAGAAAGGAAAGGAGAGAGGAAGGTAGGAAAGAAAAAAGTAAGAGGGCAGAAAATTTCTACATTAAAGATATCAAGGCAAATTTCTAGTTCAAGAATATATTGGAGGCTGGGAAGGTGGCTCCTTGGTAGAGTGCTTGCCTTGCATGCATGAGGCCCTGGGTTCAATTCCTCAGCACCACACAAGCAGAAAAAGCTGGAAGTGGCGCTATGGTTCAAGTCAGAGTGCTAGCCCTGAGCTGAAGAGCTGAGGGACAGTGCCCAGGCCCAGAGTTCAGGCCACACAACCGACCAAAAAAAAAAAAAAAGAATATATTGGTAGCCTCACACTTACTCTAAAGTGTACCTGTTGAAGGGCTGAATACATGGCTTAAATGCTACAGTGCTTCCTAACAAAACCTGGCTCAAACTCCAGTACCACCAAAAAATAAGTTTTAACTTAAAAAAAATAACTGATTGAGGTCATCATTCACCTTTCTTCCAACTATTTCTCTCCCATCTTTTTCCAAAGGAAGGTAAGGGAAAGGTACAAGGGTACTGAATGAATTCAGGAAGGGAGGAGAGTGAGCAGTTGCTACAGGCAACGACAATCCAGGTTTAGGAAAGAGAAGCTGGATTCTAGTGGACAGATTCCTTCACACCTGGCCTGCTTCACAGGGTCCACAGATATCCCTAAATCAGAGCTAACATGATTATTTGTAACTAGAAGTCAAGGGCAAATTGGTTTATTATTCATCCAAGAGGAATTAAACCTGATTACTTAGAATTACTATTCAAGAATAAGTTTCTTGAGGTTGATCCCAGTCAAACATAGTCAATTTGTATAGTCAAAATGTGTGTATGTGTACATACATACATACATAGAGAAATGCAGATAAGAAAGTTTTTCACAAACCATACTACATAAGAGACATTCTGTTCTCCATCCCATACCTTTCCTTTTAAGTTTGTGTTTTCCAAGAACCCTGAGACAAGAATTTAAGTAAGTCATGTATTTTGGAAATAGAAATACTGTAGAGATGAGATAGGGAAATCAAGACAGCAATGATAGGTTGCTATTCAGAATAGATGTGCCCTTTAACTCAATTATCCTGTCCAGGGATAGGTTACTAATGTTTTCATATATAAACTCATCCCATCATGGGTTAAGAACTGCAGTGGAGTTGGAGAGGGAGAACTATTTTCCTATTACTTCTGATCCACTGAAAGGGTTTCATTAAAGAAGGGCATAATGGAAATAAGGGAAACCATGGGACCTATGTTTCTTTGGGCCTGGCTTACTTCACTTAATATAATATTTTCCAAGTCTTTCCATTTCCTAACAAATGGGACAATGTCATTCTTTCTGATGGAGGCATAGAATTCCATTGTGTATATATACCACATTTTCTTGATCCATTCATCTACTGAGGGGCATCTGGGTTGGTTCCTTATCTTAGCTATGGTAAATAATGCTGCAATAAACATAGCTGTGCTGGTAGCTTTAGTATGGTCTTGTTTGTGATCATTTAGGTAAATGCCCAAAAGTGGGATTGCTAGTATATGTCTGAGACAAGCAGAAGGTCAGATAAGTTGATGTTAGGTGAAATAAACCCCAAGCTAAGTATTCAGACGTTTTTTTCTTTCTTGCGACTGTTTCTAACATATTTATAAGATGATTTCTTTGTTGTTTTATATGTCCCTCCCCCATGGTATAACCCATGCTTTCATTGTATTTGATGTTGGTGTAATTTGTGGAGGGGAAGGGCAAAAACAAACTATTTAAATAGGGATACAGGTGGACCCATTGCAACAATGAGATGTACAAGTCATTATGTTGAAAACGAACTCTACAACTTTGGCTGGGCGGGGGGGGGGGGGGGGGGGGGGGGGGAGGAGAAGGGGGAAGGCCAGTGGGATTGGGTGGGAGATGGGAAGGGGTGGGAAGGGAAAACAAAGGAGGAGGCAACAATGCTTGATAGGAAATGTACTCATTACCTTGCCCATGTAATTGTAACCCCTCTGTATGGTATTTTCACAATAAAAAAATTAAAAAAAGAATAACATAGAATAAAATAAATCAAACTATATTTTTAAAGACAAAAAAAAGAAGAGCATAATGGAAACCGTCAAAGAAATGCAAATGCTGACAGCTGGAGGTGGGCTGGTGTGCACAGCAGCAGGAAGGAGGGGGAATCTTGGTACAGTGGCAGTATCTACTGCACAGCCTATTTAGGATTACAGGCATGCGCCTATAGTCCTAGCTTTTCAGGAGGCTGAGATTTGAGGATCACAGCTCAAAGCCAGCCCAGGCAGGAAAGTCCATGAGACTCTTATCTCCAATTAACCACCAAAACACCGGAAGTGCACTGTGACTCACGTGGTAGAACACCCGCTTTGAGCTGAAGAGCTCAGGGACATTGCCCAAGCCCAGAGTTCAAGCCCCAAGACTGACAAAAAACAAAAACACCAAAACAAACAAAAAAAAGGTATGGGTCCTTATCCACTAAATTCATTGCATGATCTACTCACAGATTGAAATCCACAGAAGAACAGTGTATTTCTTTAAGATATGTCCTTATGATCTGTGTGTTCTAGGTAGTCCATGAAAGTATTTTGAATGGAGCCTGCATATATACAGTTTGGCATCCATCTTCACTTTAAAATTTCAAACTGTATTAGGAGAAAAGATAAAATTTGTATTCCAAGATATAGGCTTTTATTTTCTGTTTGAGGGTACTGGGGTTTGGACTATGGCATTTTCACTTGGTAGGTAGTAGCTCTACCACTTGAGCCACCAGCCTTTTATGTTTTTGTTTCTTTTAAGGTAGATTCTCAAGTTTATTCCTGGGCCAACCTATATAATGATTCTCTTTCTTATACTTCATGCATGACTGAGATGACAGATGCCACTATACCCAGCTTCTTATTGGTTGAGATGGGAATGTCACACACATTTTGCCTGGGCTGGCTTCCTTGAACTGCAGTTCTTCCAATCTGTGACTCTCGAGTAGCTAGGATTCTTGGCATGAGCCACTGCACCTGGTTGAGGGAAAATAAGTAAGTGGACTTAAATTTAGACATCAAATAAGTACTTCGGGGTACAAATTCAGGGGACAAATGGGAAGGTGATAGAGCTCAGGATCCTTCTTCACTCTGAGGATGTACCAAGATTGCTACCTTCTCTTCTTGGCTTTTTAAGTCTAATTGTGCTTCTCCCATTGCAGAGATTTGGCTATGGAGGTTGGATCCAGCTACAACACCACAGCAAGGTGAGTTTATCCCAAAGCATAACCATAAGCAGGACCTGTGGACATCCTGAGCTTGAGATACCTCCAGGGAAATGCAGTTCTTCTGCCCTTGCCTTTAAGTTTGTAGTATACAAGGGAGCAGCACTGATGGCTCAGAATTATTAAGAAAAATGAAGGTGACTTCAAAAAGCTGCCTTTTAAAGGTAAAATTAGAAGTTGAGACTCCATTAAGAAATCATTCTTTCTTTGCTCTGGAATCAATTTTGGCATTTATTGTTGTGCCTCAAGGAAGTAACTTAGCTCTCCTTGTAAAGTTATTACAGTATATTAAGGCGGATCAAATAAATGGAAAAGTTAGATTTAAGCAAACACTAGAGAGATCAAACATTGGAGACAAAGTGTGAGAAGCCACTGTTACTAAAGGCTGAGTTTGATATAAGAAGAGGATAGCATGGGGCAAAATATTCTGCAAATAACGAGGCTGGGAAATGAGCTGAGAGTATAGACCTGTAGAGAGTTCAGGTCTGGTTTCATTTTCAGAGTTACCATATGCCCTCTCAGAGTTCAAAATAAACATTCTTGAGCAGCTAGCAAAAAATGCCAACATGACTAAGATAGGTCCTAAAGAACTTATGGTTCTGCCAAGTGCTGATGGCTCATGTCTGTCATCTTAGAAGGCTGAGATGAGCAGATGACAGCCAGAAGCCAGCCTGAACAGGAACATCCATGTGACTCTTATCTCAAATAAACTACTCTCCCTCACACAAAAAAAATCTGGAAGTTGGAAGTGGTTCAAACAGTAGAGTGCTAGAGTTGAGCAAAAGAAGCTCAGGGACAACACCTATGCCAAGAAGGAAGGAAGGAAGGAAGGAAGGAAGGAAGGAAGGAAGGAAGGAAGGAAGGAAGGGAGGGAGGGAGGGAGGGAGGGAGAGAGGGAGGGAGGGAGGCAGGGAGGGACAATGTGACTAAAAGACTAGACTAGGAAGATGGCAGGAAACAGGCCCAATCACACAGGGATTTGTAGGACATGTTAGGCAGGAGTCTGAACTTTACTCTTGAAGCAATACAAATTATTTAAAAGGTCTTCACTCCTTTAAAAGAGCACTTCAGCTGTTCTGTAGAGAATAGCTACTCTGGCAAGAGTTTATGGAGAAAACTCGTAGGAAGAAGCTAGACAGGTAGGTAGAAGTCTCATGAGGGGGTCCTTGAAGGACCCAAAATGAATGAAGACCTTTCTTCTTAATCCTGAAGGCAGCTCATTCTAACCTTCTCCTAAGTGTGTCCCCTAAGCGCTAGTTTAAACATTGTTCCACTCTTCCATTCCAAGTCTAGTTTCTAACTACATTGCTGCTTCTCTCATTTTGCCTCAAGTCTTTCCCATGAGCAGAGTTGATGATACAGCTGTGCAGGAACAGGCAGACTGTGAGCGCTTTTTTCTTATCTGAGGTTTGCTCCTCAGTACTAAGATTGAATGACTGTCATTTCATTTTCTTTGAATGTCAAGAGATTTCATAAACTTAGTGGCAGATGTCCAGAAGCAAACAAGAAGGAAAATATTCCTAGTTCCATACACTGTTGTAAGCTATTTCCAGGAAAATTAATTACAGTAATAGTCCAATAGAACTAACAGAGACTTCTTTTTTCCTCTCTTACTCTAAAACAAAGCAAAATAAAACAGAGCACAATCAAGCCTATACTTTTCAGAATTACAGTGGTTAAGGATTACAGTTGCTAGAAAACAACATGCAAATGTACTATTAAGCAAACTATCCAAGATCAATGAGATGATCCCATATTTAGGATTTTTAAATCCTTTTTTTCTCCTGCATTCCTTTGGTGAACAAATATATTCTGTCCCTTGTGATTTACCTTAGAGATTCTTGTTCTCAGAAAGATTTTTCTAAAATATTTCCCTGCTTCTTTCTTTTTCTCTTTGTGTGTGTGTGTGTGTGTATGTGTATGTGTGTGTTCTTGAGAGAGAGAGAGAGAGGGAGAGCGAGCAAGCGAGTGAGAGAGAGAGAGAGAGAGAGACAAAGAGGGGGGGATACTCTACCACTTGCAGCCCTTTAATTGCTTTCAGTTATTTTTCAGATGGTTTCTGGTGGGTTTTGCCTACAGTCAACCTCAGACAATGAGCCTCTTACCTACAACTCCTATGTAGCTGGACTTAGAAGTGTGTGCTACCATATGTGGCTTTTTGTTGAGATAAAATCTTGCTAACTTTTTGTCAAGGCCAGCCTTTTGATCTCTATTTCCTAAGTAGCTAGGATAACAGGCATCTGCCACCACACCAAGCTCCTATGCATTTCTTTTTAACTTTTGGTTTTCCAGTGCTCCTAGAATGAATTCAGGGGAAGTTGTTTGCCATGTAAAGCCTTGCTCAGAACTGTAAAATACCATTTGTCTTTTGGTTGAACATGTACAATAATACAAATAGCAAGCCACTATTCTGTTACTGTGACAATCTGCCAGGAATAAGGTAGGGGTAGAATCGTGCTCTAATGGCTATACCACCTGGATGCATTTTAAAGACTTACACATAAGGTCCACTTCAAATGCATAGCTAAACAGGTCCATTGAGTGTTCTCCAGGACCATGGGCACACACACACACACACACACACACACACACACACACACACACACACACACACACACACACACACACATTTATATTATACTTAATTTTTTTAAATTTTTTATTGTAAAGATACTATACAGAGAATTACAGTTACATGAGCAAGGTAATGAGTACACTTCCTACTTCCTATTGAGCATTGTTATCCCCTCCATTGAATTTTTTTTTAAGATGTTTTTATTTATTTATTTTTGGTCTGGTCGTGGGGCCTGAACTCTGGGCCTGAGCACTGCCCCTCAGCTCTTTAGCTCAAGGCCAGTGCTCTACCACTGAGCCACAGTGCCACTTCCAGCTTTTTTGTTTTTGCTTATGTGGTGCTGAGGAATTGAACCCAGGGCCTCATGCATGCAAGGCAAGCACTCCACCACTGAGCCACCTTCCCAGCCCCATTGAATTTTTTTTTTAAATTTTTTTTTCTTTCTTTTTTTTTGTCAGTCCTGGGGCCTGAACTCTGGGCCTGGGCACTGTCCCTCAGCTCTTCAGCTTGTGCTCTACCACTTGAGCTACAGCACCACTTCCGGCTTTTTCTGCTTATGTGGTGCTGAGGAATTGAGCCCAGGGCCTCATGCATGCAAGGCAAGCACTCTGTTGTGAAATGAATGTTGTGGCTCCTTCAAACTTAGATGTTGGATCCCCAGTCCCTCAATATGATAGTATTTGAAGACGAGGCCTTTGAAAAATAGTTATATGAGGTCAGGAAGGGCTCTCATCATAGCATTATGATTTGATAAGACACACCAGTCAGCTTGCCCGCCACCAGCAAGCCAGGAAGAGGGCCTTCAACAGGAGCTAAGTCACCCAGCCTCCAAAACTGTGAGAAATAAATACTGTTTAAGCTACCTAGTTTATGATACTTTGTTATAGAAGCCCAGGCTAAGACCCTAATCTGGTCCCTGATTTTCCCCTTGCTGGGTAGCCAGTCATACCCACATGAATGAAGAATATACAGACAACAAGCAATTATGTGTTAAATGAGTAAAGGAGACAATAAATACTAAGAAAGTTCAAAGGAGGTGAAAAGCCCAAAGCAAGGAGCAATTTTAAGGAAGATTAAAGAATCACCTAACTGTAAGGCTAATGAGTATTTATCTTGGAAAATATGGATTACAACCAGTAATGAGTTATATCAATGTACTGAACTACTGCATCTTAAAAAGAAAAATAAATTGCAAAACAAAATTACAGAATGTATTGCTCATAGAGTAATACACACCTTGCCAGTCCAGGTATTTGATTTCAGGGCCTTGTGCTTGCTCAGTTGGTGATCTATCACTTGAGCCATGCCTGCAACACTGCTCTTAACTGGTTATTTGTTTTGTTTTGTTTTGGGTCCGGTCGTGGGGCCTGAACTCTGGGCCTGGGCACTGTCCTTCAGCTCTTCAGCTCAAGGCTAGCACTCCACCACTTGAGCCACAGTACCACTTCCGGCTTTTTTCTTTTTGCTTATGTGGTGCTGAGGAATCAAACCCAGGGCCTCAGGCATGCAAGGCAAGCGCTCTACCACTGAGCCAACTTCCCAGTCCCTCTTAACTGGTTGTTTTGGAAAGTCTCACAGCTTTTCTTCCCAAGCTAACTTCAAATTATGACCCTCTAGATCGCAGCCTCCTTAGCAGCTAGGATTACAGGCATGACAGCTAGATTGACAGGTAGATTTCTTTTTTTGTGTGTCTGTTGGTCCTAGGGTGCTTGGACACTGTCCTTGAGCTTTTTTGTTCAAGGTTAGTGCTTTATTGCTTAATCCACATCTCTACTTCTGGCTTTTTGCTGATTAATTGGAGATAAGAGTTTCACAGACTTTCCTGCCTGGGCTGGCTTTGAACCATGATCCTCAGATCTCAGCCTCCTGAGTAATTAAGATTACAGGTGTGAGCCATTGGCACCTGACAAGTGATAGATTTCTTAATGTAGGTCACAGTCAAACCAAAAGCCATTGATCTAGCTCAATGCCCTCATCTCGTTTTTTTGTTTTTTTTGTTTTTTGGTTTTTTGGTCGGTTGTGGGGCTTAAACTCTGGGCTTGGAGGCTGTCCTTATGCTCTTCAGCTCAAGCCGAGTGTTCTACCACTTGAGCCACAGTGGTACTTCTGGTTTTCTAGTGGTTTATTGGAGATAAGAGTCTCATGGACTTTCCTGCAGGGACTGGCCTTGAACTGTGATCTTCAGATCTCAGCTTCTTGAGTAGCTAGGATTACAGGCATGAGCCACTGACACCCAGGTCATCTTATATTTTTATTGTTAAAATTAATTTATCACATGAGTAATAGTTGGAAAGTGATTCTTTTTAAAATTAAACCTTTAGGGAAAAATGATAATTACTATGAATAATACTTAGCTTTTTCAAAAGTAACAAACAGCCTGGTGGGTATCTCTCCAGAATTTTTGCTA